CAGTCACATTCTGAACTATTGGGGAAAATATTTCCTGCATGGTTTGCGCTAACACCCCTATCATATTGTGGTTGCTGTCATCCATCAATTGCCTAAAAGCCAACTGGTTATCTGTGGTTAGGATAGGCAACGTGCTATAACCCACTGACCCTTGGTTATTTGTCATAAATTGGTTCGCCCCAGACCCAGATCCTAGTTGTGGGGATGAATTCGAAGTGGAATTGTGTAAACCTTCCATAAAAGATGTTGGCATTCCGTAAGAAGAACTTCTAATTCTATTCCCATCGAAGCCGGGTGGTCTAGTTAATGGTGTGGCTAAATGGGATTGTGTTCCTGGTGGTGGAACGAATCCCCCAGGGTAGCCCATAGTTCCAGTATTTCCTAGGATCGAACTGTTAGTTGATATGCCACTTACTCCAGTGGTGGCTATGTTACTGGTTGAAGATGCAACAGACTGTGCATTCGAAGGGATCACATTAGATGTTCCGCTCGAAATGGACGCGTTAGTGCCTGTTGCATGTGGGTCACCTTGGTTTCCTTGTTGATTGTCTGAATTAGACATTTTGTCCAAACGTTTTCTTCTGGATAAAGGTTGGTTGCTGTTGGTTATCTTACCACTTCTCAGGTTCATAAAACAGCAAATTTCTTATGGTTCCTACGTTTTTGGGATGGCTATGTCTCGACAATCCTTAATTCTGATATCCAACTATATGTCCCACCGGGTGTGCCAATTTGTTTCCAGTGATTTCTGGTAAACAACCGCTAGTCTTCCAAACTATCGAATAATCTTTATTAACGCTATTCAATCTCTCTGGTAACTCACAGGATCGACTAGATTGATCCTAGGACTCCTTGGATATTAAAGTTACTCTCACAATCGAACAATTATTCATGGTTGCTATTGTACAAGTGTTTGGTTTATTTCGATCCCTCTCTCTAAGAGTTTAAAAATATGGTCAAAATGTATATGAAAACTAGGTTATACGAATAAATGCTAATTGTAATGCTGATTGAAGAGACATATAAAACTGTATGAAAAATGAAGTAAATGGTTTCGATTTGCAAAACATTTAACATAAAAGGTTTCTGGAATGTAGAAGTTTAAAACGTGAAGAAAGCGTTTAGTGCAATTTTAAGTAAAAGGATGCGTTTGAAAAACAATACTTGGAAGTAAAGGTATTGAAAGCGTAACATTTCTCTGAAATATAAAGTGCTCGAAATATAAAGAAAGCAATAAAACGTAAAACTTTGAGGAAAAGACTTTGAAATGAAAAGACAGTAAATAAAGAAACTTGTAAATGTTATTCGATAAAAAGAAAAAGAGGAAAGTACTGGAAATGGTAAAAAGGCTTTCATTAAGTTAGAAATACATGGTGCTATCATACATACATCTCTCTTGCATTCGTTTCCCTTGCCATGTGGTAGTTTGAATGTTATTGAGTATTTTGTATAACAGATATGACACACCGAAATCCTAATACTAAGACTTCTATTTATACTAATTCGACCCTAACGGTCTCGCTATAGGATCATGCCACGTTTCGAACATGCAAGACAATGCTTCTTTCATCTTTCCACGTGTCCCCAAATGCTCCAACACATAACTTTCAAACTTTGAAAGTCCCGCTTCCATTTAAATTTTAAATGCTTTAGTGTTCTTCTGTTTCGAACGCTCTTCCCAAACCTAGCCTCGCTGTTGTTTCGAGACCTCTTTGGATATTTTTCCATGATCACCGTTCGAAGCTTCAAGCTTTGACACACTCATTCGAAACACTGCTTCTGCAACTTCGAAATATGGTGTTCAATTCCATTTCGATCAGAACTTTTAACTCTTTTGAATTCTAGATAACATTATCAAAATCTTCAGCCAACAGTAACATGACAAGAGATTTTGAGAGTGTGCTTGGGGGTCTTGGCCTAGGGGAGGTGAATGAGGAGGGTAAATCCATCTTGGAGTCTTTGTCGGCTTTAGATCTTTTTATAGCCAATACATGGTTTAGGAAAAGAGATGAATATCTTATCACATATAAAAGTGGAGGTACATGTTCTCAGATAGATTTCTTTCTTATTAGGAAGTCTGATAGAAAGTATTGCTTGAACTATAAAGTTATCAAGAGAGTTTGACTACCCAACATAGAGTTTTGGTTATGGATGTAAGAATTAAAGAAAGGGCAAAGAGAAGAAGTGCAAATGATATGTGGAACAAGATGGTCCAAGAGATTAGAAAAGTGGATAAAGAGACGTTGGGTGAATCTAGAGGTTTTGAACCTAGGGATAAAGAATCGTGGTGGTGGAATGAAAGTGTCCAGAGCAAAGTTAAAGTAAAAAAGGACTATTTTAAAGAGTGGTCTAGGTGTAGAAATTTTGAAACTTGGGAAAAGTACAAGATAGCTAAAAATGAAATCAAAAAGGCGGCGAGTGAAGAAAGAACCCAAGCTTTTGATGGATTATACCAATCTCTAGGAACCAAGGAGGGAGGAAGATCTATATATAGACTTACTAAGGGGAGAGAAAGAAAGAATAGAGATTTGGATCAAGTAAAGTGTGTTAAGGATGAAGAAGGCAAGGTCTTAGTGCAGAAAAAAGATATAAAGGATAGATGAAAGATGTATTTCCAAAAATTATTTAATGATGGATATATGTATGACTCTAGCAGACTAGACATAAGAGAAGAGGATCAAAACTATAGTTAATATCGTCAGATTCAAAAACAGGAGGTAAAGGAAGCATTGAAAAGAATGAGTAACGGTAAGGTGGTGGGGCCAGACAACATATCTATTGAAGTGTGGAAAATTCTTGGAGATAGAGATATTGAGTGGATCATAAACTCTTTAATGAAATTATGAGGTCAAAACGCATGTCAGATGAATGGAGGAGAAGCACTTTAGTTCCTATCTATAAGAACAAAGGGAATATACAAAATTATGCAAATTATAGGGGAGTCAAGCTTATGAGGCATACCATGAAATTATGGAAAAGAGTGATTGAACCGGGATTAAGAAAAGAGACTCAAGTTACTGAGAATCAATTTGGTTTTATGCCGGGAAGGTCGGCCATGGAAGCGATTTATCTATTACGGAGGGTGATGAAGCAATATCGAATGGACCAACAAGACTTGCACTTGATTTTTATTGACTTAGAGAAGGCATATGATAGAGTTCCTAGAGAGATTATATGGAAAGATCTAGAGAAGAAAGGGGTTAGGGTTGCATATATTCGAGCTATCCAAGATATGTATGAAAGGGTATCGACTAGTGTTAGAACACATGGTAGAGAGATAGACGATTTTCCCATCACAATTGGTTTGAATCAAGGGTCAACCCTAAGCTCCTATCTTTTTACCTTAATTTTGGATGTACTCACGGAATAAATCCAAGAGATAGCGCCAAGATGCATGCTTTTTATAGATGATATAGTCCTCCTTAGAGAGTCGAGGGAGGATTTAAATGAGAGGTTGGAGACTTGGAGAAGAGCTTTAGAAACACATGATTTTCGCCTAAGAAGAAGTAAGTCAGAGTATATGGAATGTAAGTTTGTCATACCCAAAATTTTGACCTAAGATCCCACCTTCATTTGCATTTTCATAAAGCATCAAGGTCACGAGATACAGTTGGTTTTTTAATCCGCTAACCTCCGAGCATTGCTTATGCAGAGATTATCAATTGTTGTGAACCTTTTATTTGATGCATAACTAACTTCTAATCCCATAGAGAGGTGTATGTTTGTGTTTCTTTGGTTTCATGTGCAGAGACAGGTCTAAATCAAAAGCATTAGGCATCGTGCCTCATTTAGGGTTTCTGATCCCTTAAGTGTTCAAGTATGATGCATCATCGATTCTCAAAGGCTACATCATCAAACCTTAGCCTCTAATCTCAAAAAGCACAGTCAATATTTCATCATCACTGATTCACATGTGCATCAATATATCTTTGAATGCAAGGATGGATCAAGTTTGCAAGTCAATTCAAAGCACTTCGACCAAAAGTGAACTTTTGTAAGATTAAGTTCAAACGACCATAACTTCTTCATTATTCAATATTTTTGAATGGTTATTTTTATGTATAACTCTCCTTGACGTTATATCCAACTCCTCTTTATCAGTAAAGATTTGATTATGTGCGGATGATCATCAAAAGTTCGAATACTTTAGAGGTAATTCTGTGGAATTTGACCTAATCTCAAAATAGTTTTGCCCAATTTCCGTGGATCATAACTTCCTCGATTTTTAATATTTTGACGCGATTCTTTTTGCAAATTATCATGAGAGATATCATTTACAAGTTTTAATTAGGAATCAAGGTCAAATTGTGCTTGGGGGCATGAAATTTAAAGAACGTTACAATGATCATTTAAAGGCTTTTAGGTTTGGTTCGAGTTCTTATGCTCACATGATGCAAGGAGAATTTCGTTCGAGTGGAATGATTTTAATTCAAGGTTGCTGGAAAAAGAATCCATTTAGAATACTAGGAATTTTCATCATGTGAATTCAAAATGTTAACTAGATGGAAGTTATCAAAAGGGCACATTCAAGATTCAAATCATTCATCACATTCCATTATTCAAAACTTTTTAAGGCATGATATTTCAAGGTCATCAAACATTATTCAAGACATGAGATTAATTCCAAAAGAAATGATTATTTGGAAACTTGCCATCAAGTATTTATTCAAGAAAAGTTATGCAAATTCAAGCTATATTCAATCAAATTGCTTCAACCAAGATCCATTCGAGTGTTTTCAAGAGAAAGTTTTTCATACTCATTCATGATTCAAGCTTCAAGGTACATTCATAAAATACAAGAGCAATTAAAAGTTACATGAAACATTGCAAATACTAAAGAACCTATACTTTTAATCCTATCCAAGTTTCAAACAAACTTCAAATTCCATCATTCATGTTACAAGTGAACATTTTCAAGATACATTTCAAATTTGATTACAAAGACATGGAACCAAATCCTAAGGAAACCATACTACTAATTCTAATCTTCAAAGACTTTCATGCCTTCAACATCCTTCATCAATCTTTGTGCTCAAGTTTCATTCATTTTTATCATGACTTTATGCTCCAAACCAAACTTGTCCAAAGAATTCAAAGGAGGGGAAATCAGAAAATACAAAGGGGAAAAAAGACATCTCAAAGACATAAAACTATACCCCAAAACATGTTGCTGCCCTGCACTAAAACAGCTCCAAAATTATCCTTTGTTTTTTGTCCAAAACCAGTTGCTACAAACCTTGGAAAACATGCTTCATGAACCTCCAAAAACCTGTCAAAAAGCCAGCTGCTACTGCTACCCATGCTATGTATCAGTCCAAATTTACACTAAATTAGCAAAAACAAAACTACATCTAAAAGTTACAAGGTCAGCCGACCATTTTGTTCAAAAGCTATAAAACTTTCCCTCCTAAATGTTAGTTTTCCATCTACAAAAAAGAGGGTGTGGGATCATAAATAGAGGGGAAGTTCTGTTCAACATAAAAACACAAAAAATCTCAACAAAAAAAAATACTCTGCTCTTTCAAATACTCAACTTCTAAACCTCTGTCAAAACCTCACTTCTGTTCAATATCACAACCATCTTGCTCAAAGTCATTTCGAAAAAGAAAAAGGGATCAAGGAGAAGCTTATTACCTCTAGTTTTCTATTTCATACCTGAGTCAACCTTGAGGTAAGTCATTCTGCCTCTGTTTTTGCACTTTTTTCATCTTCGTTCCTTATGATATTTGAAGCCTTATTACTATGATGTTTAGTTGTTCTGCTTGCATTGTACCATCATTAAAACAGTTGAGTCCTAAAAAAATACTTGGATAAATGTTAAAGTTACAAATTGATGAACACATGTTATGTTATTAGTCTTACCATGTGAAAATCTGCGGATGACCCTGATACAATGGTGAAAGCGCTCAGGCGCTGATTATCACCCGTTTGTTGAGGAGACCGAATATTGGTGTTTCAAACATCAGTCCTTTCTGTTTCTTTTAGAAAAGAGGATGATTGAAGTGAGGAGGATGAAGAAACGTCTTCAAACCTTAGAGGATCTTCAGACTCTATTGATGATTATAAGAAAAGATTTTGGGGATTAGGGTTCAGAAGATTGGTTTCGATTCAATGATGATTAACACGTTTTTTATCTAAATTTTTTTAAAAGTTCTTGTTTAAAACCAAAAATCTACGAGAGTTTATCTTAGATAGGAATCGATTTACTGCCTGGTTGAGAGGTAGAGAAATTGAAGGAGATGCGTGTGATTTGGAAGAGAGTTGATGGGTGGTATTTTGTTGTGTTCACAATGGAAAAATAAAAAGAATGTCACGGTTTTCATAGAGAGAATCATTGAGATTTAATTAGGGGAAATAATTAGCATTTATTTAGGAATTAAAAATGGATTGGAATTAATTGATTTTTATTGAGAGAAAATAAGAAAAGAGCGTTGAACGTTTTTTAGCAGCGAGAATTTCTGATTTTTTTTCTTTAAATATTACTTTTAATTCTTTTTATAAAAATTAAAAAAAAAATAGATCAAGAGATAATATAGAGGCTCTCCCAAGTTTTTTTTTTATCTCATTTTTTCTTATTTTCTTAATTGGTATTTCTTTTTTATTTAATCTAAATATAAATTAAAAAAAAAAAAACTAATTAAAGAGACATTTAAGGTGAGGTGGAACGATTCTATTCCCTTATTCTCTTCCTACTTATTTATTTATTTATTTATTTATTTACTTAGTCTTAAATTTTTTTAATTATTTTATTTAATACTATTATTTCTTTTTTCTTAGGAATTAGATTTTAGTATTTTTGGATTTCTCTTATGGGCTCAATTCACCTCATTTTACTCTTTCCATACCCCCGTTTGTTGCTCCCTCTTATTTCTTTTTATTTTAGTTGTTTTATTTTATTATTATTTTATTTGTTATTAATAGTTAATTTGGTATTTTATCTTTCTAATTGCTTCATTTTTTTATCATTTTTTTTGTGGAAATTTATTTATTTTAATTAATTTTATTTAATCCAACTAATTTTAATTAAGTAGTTTTATTAAATATTCTCAATAAACGTGATTAATTTTTATTTTTTAAAATCGTTTGATTGTTAGTTGTTTAATCTCCTTTCAATTATTTTTATATTTTTGCATTGTGTTTGAATTCAAGGGAAATGATTAATTTGTTGACTTCATGCCATCGAATATATCTAATATGATTATGCGAAACTCCTTTCATACATTTTAGTTTTGTTAATCTTAAGTTAAATCCTCTGAAAAACTCAATTTTTAAACTTACACTCATTTAAGCTAAAACTTCGACACTAGGTCGTCGCATCTTCAAGATCTCATCCTCACACCCATTTAGCAAGCAAACTAATTTTAACCCAAAAAACAGATATTTCAAAAGGTTCCTATAGGATACATAGATACATAGGGTGCTAGTACTTTCCCTTTGTATAATCAACCCCCGAACCTTCGATCTCTTTCAAATGCATTATTCATACTTTGCATATTTACGGATTTTATTTCGCACTTTTCCATTTCCCCTTGGAACTAATAAAGCGCGATGGCGACTCTTGCTTATTTGCGAGTCAAGTTAATTAATAGCTTGATCTCCGATTTTCACGGCTACAGAATTTGCGACTCTGCTGGGGAAAATTAAAATACTCTAAGTGGGTTAAACCTAATTTGTTATATCTGTTTTCGTTATTATTGCTTGTGTGCTTATGTGTTGTTTTGTGGTTTCTTTGGGTGTTGATTACAACAGTAAAGTCCTACCCATACTAAGATACACTTAAGATAGGACGGGCGGTATAGTCATGTTAAATTTGAGGGAGTAATCCCGAAGAAGGAGACATAAAACCCCCCACTCAGTGGAGGTCCCCTTGAATGTAGCATTGTTTACCAAGTAATTGGGAAGACATGTTGATTTCGACTTGGGATCCAGAGAAGCCGAGAGCCTTAGAACCCTTAACCCATCTTGGCCTTTTAGATATAGTGCGAAGACTATGACAGAGTAATCCGGAAGTAGTTATCACATGATGGTGCACTCAGACGAGTTTTTTCCTGCGAATATTACTAATTACCGAGTAATTGAAACGTTGGTAATATGCAAAGGAAGAGCGTAGACTCTAGGATTTCCTTAGAACCTTGTTCGGTAGGTGGTAAACCCTTAGTACACACCTTGTGGATTGATTCTCATCCTTTGACTCCATGCTTGTGATGTTAAACTTTTGAACCTTGTATGTGTTTGTTGCATAGCCGTACATTCATGCATTCATAAAAATCATAACATGCTTGTGACATACGTGGTTATTTCATTTATATGGAACTTTATCTTTGATTCTCGTATCAAGATCATTACTCATAAATGGACACTAGAAAGAGGAATACCATCAGTTACAATATTTGGATGCGAGTTCAAGTTAAGGTCACGAAGTTTGAAGATGAAGATTAGGAAGAAGATTTTTACAGCCTTCAGCTTCAAGAAGAGATTGATCATTTGAAAAGCATTATCGATAGAAGGGATGTACTCATCAAGGAGCTAATTGAGAGACCAAAGAGCAAAGCAATGAAGGAGATCTTTAAAAGCTCCCAAGAGTGGAGTAATGAGAATCTAGTTTGGGGTACCCTTGCTGATGTAGAGTTTCGGGAAACATCTTAGGGTTTATGATTTGTATATTTGATGATCACTGCCAGGTCTGTTGACTAGGATCTCATGGCTTTGTATTTTGTAGCCTTTAGGATCTTAACTTTGTACTAAACTCATTTGTCACATTTTGTTGTTAATTATTTCTCGCTTGAAGCTTGAGTCAAAATTTGAGGTCCTTAGAAATAAATTGAACTTGGCATTTGCATATATCATGCATCATTCTACATTTTTGTTTCACTTTCGAAAGTCATTCCCGAGTCTTATTTTCCCTTTGGTCCCGTAGTACAACACTCGTGCTAAGAGGAAGATGGAAAATATTAAGCAAGACATTTCCGAACTCCATAAGGAGATGGTTACTTGGAAAGCTAGTATAAAGCATCTATCTAGTTTGGTTGAAATTATGATTTCCTCGCAAGTAAATTCTCTTATGAATGAAGAAGAGATGGAAAAGGTCTTTGCAAAAACTTTTAAGTCATTATTTCATGAGAAGGTGGCCGTCAATACACCTGATGATTTCCCTAAAGAGTTAAATATGGAAGCGTTTCTAAAAAAGGGATGTTCAAAAGGAACGTTTTTCTGAGGATGGTAATTGTTGCACCCCAATTTCCCCCCTAAGATTCCTCTATCATCTCATATCAACTCAATCACAACAAGATCATACTAGGTTTTGGCTCTTCTCCATATCTTTAGGTTTGCTCATGAGGAATCACCAAGCACCTTGATTTGTATTGTGATCATCTATGTTTTGTATTGATTAATTTTAAACTAACAAATACAATGAATGTTTTCTCTAATTGATGATACTATAGGTGAGGGCACAACACATTTCATCAGGTTGATTCCTAGGTTCATGAGTTTATTTCCATGACTTCTTCAACAAAGCTTCATTAAGATTCAAGTTTCATCATTGAGAGTGCTTAGAGTAATATCATGACAAGGTCTACTATGATTTATCATGCCTCAATTTGTCAAAGGAATTCAAAAGATGCAAGAATTGATTGAAGAAGTTTGACCTAATTGGACAAGTTCTTGTTTCCTTCATCACAAGTGCATAACTCTCTTAATACTTAATATTTGAAAATGGTTATTATTGATATGGATTCTTATTATCATCCACAACAAATTCTATTCACATGGAAAAAAGTTATTGTGCAATAAAATTTTTCAAAATTGAAAGGGGTTCCCAAGTCAATTTGGTGCTTGAAGAGCTATGGTTTTGAACTTCTAAGGGTTATATCTTGCTCATCTTTTGAGATTTTTGAGTAATTCCAAAGACATGCTCCTCTTTAAAAGGTTATCAATTAATCACTTCAAGAGTTTCAAGGAAATTTTGTGTAGAAGATGCTTAATGATTGAGAAATATTACAAGTCCTCTAGATATGCCATCGAATTCCCTTATGAGACTTCAAAAGATCACAACTTGGTCAATTTTTATCTCCTTGAATCCATTATTTTTCCATAATTATCTTAAGTATGTTAACCTCAACTCTTCTTTTATGTGCAAAGCTTGAAAATAAGTGGAAGATGCCCTAAGAACCCAAAAGATTATAGGTCACCTCATGGATTTTCACCAATTTCACAAGGCCATAACTTTTTCAGTACTTGGTATTTTTGGGTGATTCAAGTTTCAAAATGATCTTTGGGAATTCTATTTCAATCTTGCATCAATGATCAAAGCTCAATTTTGGAGGAAGGCATTGTTTGAACTCAAAATATTATAGGTCACTTTTGAAGAAAAACAGAATTTTTCTAAGTACAAAAA